GGGGGGGTGGTGGTGGTGATGTGGTAAACGCTAATAAATAATTTAACAATGACAAGTTATTAAATAAAATGTGTCTGGGGATGGCGGGTGGGCGGTGAGAGTCTGTACAAGGAAAACAGGAATGGCCGGTGGCCCGGTCCCCACACCTGGCTGCGCTGGGCTCCTGGGGCCCCAAGGTGGGAGTGGGGCACCAGCAAGAGGTTTGTTGGTACCTTCAAAGGGCTGAAACTGGGGGGATCCTTCCCACTCCCCCAGGCCATGTGTGCCTGAGTGTGGGTCCGTGAGCCCCCGAGTGTGTGCGGGAGCCATGAGCCCTCTCCCCAAAGGGCAGAGTCAGCCCTGGGGGCTGCAGGTTCTCCCTCCCCCTAGGTGGTGCCCAGAGCCCAGGGCCAGAGCCAGGCAGGCATCAACTAACCCTCCTTCCTCTGAGGCTCCCAGGGTGCAAAGTGAAAAGAGCATTCAGATGGATGGGGCAGGCAGTTTGTCAGGGGACTGTGGAGCTTCTAAAGAAGAGGCTGTCCCCAACCCCAAGCTGGGCGCTTGACCCTGCTGGGCCCGCATCTGATGCAGGGCCAGGGCCTCCCCAACCACAAGCCCCAAGGAGCCTCCTGGGATGCCTTCCTCAGGCTATGTTGGCCCCTGGGTCTGACCCTTGCAACCACAGTGTTCTGTGTGTGTGTGGCCCCCCCTGATTCTCCTGGGATAGCAGGGCACCTGGATGCCCTACAGAGCAGGCAGATGAGGATCTGGCTGGGGGCAGGAACCCGGCTTCTTGGTCCTCCTCCGCCCCAACTCTGTGCTATCGGAGCAGATTCCTTCCTCCTTCTGAGCCTTGACTTCTCCAGCAGAGAACTTGGCTTTCCTTCAAGACCCCACACCTACCTCTCTGCCTCGTCCTCTGGGGACCACATAGTTACCTCCCTTTTCTCTTGGATTTCCCATCCTAGCTCCCATAGTGACAATGGTCCCATATCATGGCAGGGGTGGGGGTCATCCTGGCTACTCCCCACCCCTCTCCCAGTCGGCCCTATGGGCTTCTGCTGGGTGACCCTGAACACATCACCTCCCTTCTCTGAACCTTGGGTTCCTCATCTGAGAAATGGGTTCCTAATGACATCTGGACAGGGCTAGGGAGACCACACCATGGCTGATGGGGTGTCTCCTGCATGAGGAACCATGTGAGGTCCCTCTGGATTTAACAATCTATGGGCCATGAGTGTGGGTGTTCCTGGAGCAGCTCCTGGCATGGGGTTGTATGATGAGAGAGCAGAGGCTCAGGCTGGACTCGGAGGTTTGGGGCCCCAGAGTGGGAAGGGGTGGCCCCAGGGGCTGGTATATTTACTGAGAACAAGTTATGCCCCCTGACCTGGAGGTCATTCCCAAGCCAAGGAGGATGATAGGGCTGGCATAGCACTCCTGTTTTCAGCTCTGGCTCTGTCACTAACTCTGTCACTAACCCTTCCCCTCTCCTGGCTCAGGTTTTACAGTTGTAGAAGAAGTGGGTAGACTAGATGACCCATTTCTAGTGCTCCTTCCAAGTTAATGAGTCCGGAAAGGCCAGGTCTCCAGAGCTTGGGTGTCTAACTCGATCTTCCCAAAGCGTCCGTGGCATGACTCAGACTGTGCATGTGCAAGGGAGGAAGGGGACTATCTCTCAGGAAGCTAGCATAGTGGGCCAAGGGACCAGTGGTGGCCCAGACCCGGGAGGTGGTGGGGGGAGGGTGAGGCTGCAGGTCTGGGGACATCCACTGAGGTCCTGGGTGAAGTTCTATAATAAGAAGAGCCACGAAAGGGCCAGGCTGGCTGCTCAGGCCTGAGGGGTAACACAGAGCCACACATTCCCTTTGCCAACTGCCCTGGTGATGAGCCTGGTGGGCGCAGAAGCCCAGCACAGTGAGGAGACTGACCCAGCATGCTCTCGAGGGACTGAGGACTCCCCCCCCCAGGACAAAGAAGCAAAACTCAGAACAGCTGGCGAACTGTGAAGATTCCAGAGAGAGCCAAGCATAGGGCCCAGAGGTGGAGAGGGACACTTATCATCCTTATCTGCTCAGAGGTTGGCCGCGCAGACCTTGGGGTGGGGGCCTAGGGCTTGACGTTAGAGTTAAAGGCAGGGCGGGGTTGTGAGCACCTGAACAAGGACACAGTGATCACCAGGGCCCAGCAGCCTGACCTCCTTGCTCTGATGGGGTTCGAGTTGAATGGACTGGGGGTGGGGTGGTCTAGTGTACCTGGCTTCCAGCAGGGTATTTGACAAGGTCTGTTGCAACCTCCTGGAGGCAAGGAGGCTGGAAACACAATTGGAATCATCCTCTGAGGAGGACGGGTTAAGAGGCCCATACCAAAAGAGAGAGGCCCCCCTGTCCATATGCCTTGGGTGAGACTCCCAGGACTGACCCCTTACCCAGGCAGGTATGTTTAGGAAGAGAACAAAGCAGTGGTCAGAGTCAGGATGCAGAGAAACTCCGTAGGCTGGACTGAATTGAACAGGGGGAAAGGAATAAGAAAAGAGTCGCCGTCCCTCATAGGTCTAAATCGTAAGGGCCCCCTGCTAGCCTACATACACACAAGGAAGGGATGTGGCTTGGCTGTCAACTGCATATGAGGGCCAGGGGACTCCATTACAGAAGGGCAGGTGAGTTGCCAAGGTCATGTGGTCCAAACCATTCACTGGGCCACATTAACAGAGGCATGGCACTGACAGCAGGAGAGGTGGTGGGCCTGCCCATGTTGATCAGCTGATGTCAGTGAGCAGGGAGGTTATATCTGTCCCACACCTCTAGAGGGAAAGCTGGGTCCCACAACTAGGGGGACAATTTTAAGAGGGGTTGGAGAAGCCTGGCTCTCAGAAGCAAGGACTCAGAAGCAGGGGCAAAACCAGGGGGGTCAGGACAGTTGCCTTGGGCTCACTGATGTAGTGAGCTCCTCATCACTGGAGGTATGTGAGGAGAGGAAGCTGTGGCTTAGGCAGGAGCCCAACAGCTGATGGAGTGTCAGATGGGTGACCATCAAGGTCCCTGTCCACCAGGAAGTTCTGCTGTCTGGCCTAACTGCCCAGCCCTGGGGCCCGCCCTTAGAGATGGTCAGGTCTGGGGCCACACTTCCCGCCCAAGTGGCCTCTACCTAGGTCCAGGCTGAGGTACAACCGGGTCCTCTACCTCACCCATTCCTCCCTCTCCAGTGCTCTGAGGGGGCCACTTCCTCACAAGGCAGGACAAACCTTCCTTGCCACTTCCTCACAAGGCAGGACAAACCTGCAAAGCCCTGGCCCCTTCAGTGGCCCTAGTAGCTGTGTGTGTATGCGTGTGGGTGTGCCTGTAGGTGTCTGTGTGTTAGCATGTGATTCTCTGTCCCTCTGGGTCCACCCAGGCTCAGGCCACATCCTTGTCCCTTGCCACTGCCGCCCCCTCAGGCAGAGCCATGGTGAGCCTGACACACCTGTCAGTCCCTTCCCTCTCGCTGCTCCAGGCTCGGACTTGGGGTGGTCTTGGTCAGTGGGCCTACCCTCACTGGTGGGTGGAGTGGGCACCAGTGCAGGGCATGGGCACACACGCTTCTCAGGTCACAGGCACAGTGCCATGACAATGCTGTTTTGGGCTTGTGTGGGGGGCCTTGAAGGTCAGCTGGACACAGAGAGGACATTTAAAAAAATATAGAGAATTTAAGCTTCCCAAAAAAGAGATGGGGACGGAGAAGAGGTGTTGGAGGCCGAGGTGGGGCTGGGAGGCAAGTGGCCTTCCGAGAACTCTGGGTCCCTGGGGGTGACAAGGTCTCTGTGGGCAGGACACAGCCCCTGCCCAGGCTGTGTCCATCAGCTGGTCCGGCTGTGCCCAACAGGCACGCTGGCCAGGCCCAGCTGGCCGAAGGGAGGGCACCGTATGGCTGTCTGTAGAGTCTGTGTGG